AGATATCAGTACACTGACTGGTATCTCTCAGTCCCCTCTTACTCTCATGGAGATATCTGTGCACTGACTGGTGTTTCTTACATGCCCCTCTCTCTGAGAGATATCTGCATACTGACTGGTGTCCCTGGGTCTCCTCTCTCTCAGGGAGATATCTGTACACTGACTGGTGTCCCTCATGCCCCTTTTTCTCAGGGAGATATCTCCCCGTACCTAAGATTTTGTACCTAGGTATCTTTGTGTCTAAGATGGCGTACATCCCAGGAAAGAATATAAAAAGACAGGATAATGAGAGCTGCCTCAGCTTGCTGCTGACAGCTCCTGCTCACTTGACAGCTGCTTGGGGGCAGAAAGGCCACTGCATGTGTGATTAAATGAAGAAATTTTCAGGTGCTGGATTCATCTAAAATATGATTCACTCTTTAATCAACAGCCTGTCTGTAACTCATCAACACATTTTTGTGTGGGGAAAGAGAAAGAGAGAACAAGTAAGCAACATAAAGTGGGAGGGGAGAGAGTAAAGTGAAAGATAGAAATGGATGGGGATGTGACAGAGGTCGGAAGATAGAGACAGAAAGATAGGAGATAATGGACAGGACAGGCAAAGAGAAAGAGTGAATGAGGCACATAGAGAGACGCAGAGAATGAACAATGGGGGTACAAATACTGCAAGTTGTCTCGGGTTTTATTTTTCTATGCTCTCTCCCACTAACCTATGCCTGCCTCCCCCTTCTCCCTCCCATCCTCTCGCCTCTTCACTCCTTGCTGAGCCTCTCATAATTCCCGCTCCCTTCATCCTGCCTCTAGCTTTGCCCCATCTCTCTCCTCCCTTTCTATCTGCCTCTCTGCCTGTTCTGCCTCTCCATCATAGCTGTGGCTCCAGCAGCAGCGGAAATAGTTCAGATCCTTGCTGAAGGAACCAATCTCCATGTCTGTTAATTCTATTAGTTTCAAAATGGTTATCGAAAAGGATAAGTCTTCCATAAAAGTTAAAAATTTTAATTGGAGTAAAGCAAATTTTAAAGATATGAGACAAGAACTTTAAAAAATTGATTGGACTAGACTATTCATAGATAAAAGGACGTCTGACAAATGGGAGACATTCAAGAGTGTATTGACGAGAGTTCAGAGGCATTTGTTTTCCTGTTAGAGTGAAGGGTGAAGCTGGTAAGATTAAAGAACGATGGATGAATAAAGATATTGAGGTTCTAGACAAGAATAAAAGAGAATTTTTTTTAGCTATAGACAACTTGAATCTCTTAATCAATATAAAGAGTGTAGGGGTATTCTTGACAGAGAAATCAGAAAGGCAAAGAGGGGATATGAGATAGCATTGGCAGATAAGGTTAAGAATAATCCAAAGAGATTCTACAAAGACATTAAGAGCAAGAGGGTAAATAGAGAGAGGGTAGGGCATCATTAAGATCAAGAATGTCGTCTTTGTGTTGAAACCCAGGAGGTGGAAGAGTTACTAAATGAATATTTTGCATCAGTTTTTACTGTGGAGAATGAAATAGAGTCTAGAGAATGCAGAGAAATAAACTTTGATGTTTTAAAAACAGTTCACATTACAGAAGAGGAAGTTTGGGAGGTCTTGGAGAATATAAAGGTGGATAAATCTCCAGGACCTGATCTAACGTATCCCAGAATGTTGTGGGAAGAAAGGGAAGAAATTACAAGACACCTTGCAGAAATATTTGCATCATCTATAACTACGAGTGAGGTGCCTAGTGACTGGAGGGTGGCTAATGTTGTACCTTTGTATAAGAAAGATTGTAAGGAGAAACCGGGGAACTATAGAACTGTGAGTCTGACATCAGTTGTGGGTAAATTGTTGGAGGTAATTATGAAAGATGAGATTTATGGGCATGGAGACAGGCAAAAATTGATTAGGGATAGTTAGCATGGTTTTGTGCGAGGAAAACTGTATCTCACAAACTTGATTGAATTTTTTGAGCAAGTTACAAAAGGTTGATGATGGCAGAGCAGTAGATGTTGTTTCTTTGGATTTTAGTAAAGCCTTTGACAAGGTTCCACATGGTAGACTAATTAGTAAAGTTGGGGTCACATGGGATTCAGGGTGAGCTTGCCAATTTGATACATAATTGACTTAAAGGCAAGAGACAGAGAGTAATGGTGGAGGGTTGCTTTTCGGACTGGAGGACTGTGACCAGCGGTGTTCCACAGGGATTGGTTCTGGGTCCTCTTTTGTTTGTCATTTATATAAATGGTTAGGATGAGAATATAGAAGGCACGGTTAGTAAGTTTGTGGATGACACCAAAATTGGTGGCATTGTAGACAGTGAAAAAGGTTTCTAAGATTACAAATGGATCTTGATCAAATGGGTCAATGGGCTGAAAAATGGCAGATGGAGTTCGATCTGGAAAATTGTGAGGTATTGCAATTTGGTGCAATAAACAAGGGTAGGGTTTATACAATTAATGGTAGGTCCTTGGGCAGTGTTGTAGAACAGAGGGACTTAGAGGTGCAGGTACATAATTCTTTAAAGTCACATATAGAAAGGATGCTTAAAAAGGCATTTTGCACGCTTGCCTTCATTGCTCAGTCCTTTGAGTTAAGGAGTTGGGATGTTATGTTGAGGTTGTACAGGACATTGGTGAAGCCTCTCCTGGAATACTGTGTCCAGTTCTGGTCACCCAATTATAGGAAGGACATTATCAAGCTGGAGAGGGTTCAGAAAAGATTTACCAGGATGATGCTGGGTATGCAAGATTTGAATTATAAGGAAGGCTGGATAGGCTAGGATATTTTCACTGGAGTATTGGAGGTTGACAGATGACCTGGTAGAAGTTTATAAAATAATGAAATGTATAGATAGAGTTGATGGTAGTTGTCCTTTCCTCTAAGATGGGGAATTTCAAGACTAGGGGGCATATTTTTAAGGTGAGAGGAGAGAGATTTAAAAAAAGACAGCAGAGGCAAATTTTTTACACAGAGGGTGGTTTGTGTGTGGTGTGAACTTCCGGAGGAAGTGGTGGATGTGGGTACAATTACAATATTTAAAAGACATTTTGATAGATACATGAATGGGAAAGATTTGGAGGGATATGGGCCAGGAGTAGACAGGTGGGACTAGTTTAGTTTGGGATCATGTTTGGCATGGACTAGTTGGACTGAAGGGACAGTTTCCATGCTGTATGACGCGATGACTTTATTTCTGAGCCTGGGCAGCAATGGTCAGAGGTTCAGTACATTACAGCAAGTCTCTGCTGCCATAGAGATTAAAGTGGTTTGGGCCAGTGTGAACATGTGCCTGTGTTTGCTAGTCTGGTGTCTATCTGTTCACATATATTTGTTGAAGGGTTTGTATGGCATATATGTTTTTATATGTGACAATGTCTGAACAGGTGTCTGTGTGCGTGCACTGCGTATGTCCCTACATGTTTATGTCTTTTCCTGTGTGTGGGGTATATATCTTCATTATTTGTGTCTGTGTTTCCGTACATATATCTGTGTTCGTATTTCTGTGTATGTGTGCGTGTGTGTGTGCGTATGTATCAATACATCAGTCTGTGTTCGTGTATGTGTTCTGTACATGTGTTCATGGAGATCTACAGCACAAAAAAAGGTCATTCTGCCCATCATGTTCTCCCTGGCCAAAAGCAAGCACTTAACTATTCTAATCCCATTTTCCAGCATCCGGCCCAGATGGCATCACAAATGCACATGTAAATACGTCTTAATTCTAAGATTCTAAGATTCTAAGAAATGTTAATGTGTGTTTTTTCCTCTACCACCCTTACAGACAGTGAGTTCAAGATTACCATCACCCTCTGGGTGAAAAAAATTGTCCTTATATCTCTAAACCTTGTGGCCCTTAAATCTAAATCCATAGACATTGATCCCTCCATCAAGGGAAAAGCTTCTTGCTGTCTACCCTATTGTGTATGTCTTTGTAGGTATCTTTATGTGTGTATCTGTGTGAGTGTGTGTGTATACACATACAGTGCCCATGTGTCTCTGTGTACATGTGTGTGTGTGCATCTATGTGGGTAGCTGTTTACAGGTGTCTACGTGAGTGTCTATGTGTGTGGGTGTCTGTAGTGTATCTCTGCGGGTATCTGTATATCTACACGTTTATGTGTGTGAGTGCATGATTACCGTTGTTTACAAGGCTCCATTTTGAACTATGGTCACTGCATGGGCTCTATTTTGACTTAGATGGCCATTCTGAAATGAACTTCTTTTTTTATTTGTCCTTTACCTCGTCAGACCCAGACCTGAAGATGAGAAGATCAAATGGAATGGCAGCCACGATGTCGATGAGGAACCAGCCCTTGAAGTAGTGGATGGCGATCTTGGCTGGGTGACTCACCACCTCATCGTTCTCGTTGACGTAGGTGGTGCGGAAGTTGATGATGATGTCGATGATGAACATGATGTCGACAATCAGGTCCACGACAGCCAGGGGGTTGCATGAGTAGCCACATTCCAGACGCTTCTCCTCTTCCTGATCATTTAGCAGGAAGGCTGCAGAATAAGGGGTGAAGATGGCAGTGTGTATGACCAACAGGAGGATGAGCCAGTCCCAAACCGCCTTGAACGGGCTATAGTGCAGAATTGTCCACTTATGAATGCGAGGGGCCTGCAGCTTGTACTCAGGAAGCACATCAGCTCCAAGTGAGAGGACCTATAGGCATAGAAGAAACAATGACAAGTGATTATTAACCCATGTCAGGCCAGAGTGTCCCCAGCTACCAGCCTTGGCATATGCTGAGTTGACAGATATTGGCTATTTGGCGGCTGTGATTAGCGTCAACTGTGAATGAATGTATCTCCCATTCTTCAGAAGTGAATGAGTTCGAGCCTCATTCCAAAGACGTAAGGCTACCACTTCAATGCAGCACTGAGGGAGGGCTACACTGTCGGAGGTGCTGGCATTTAGTTCTAAAGTAGAGAGAAAAGCCCATGGCGCTATTTTAATAACAGCAAGGGCTCACCTCTGCAGTTCTGTTTATCCCTTATGCAATACCATTAAATCAGAAAATCTGATCATGAGAAACTGAGGGAAATGGACAATGGACATGCGCAGGAAATAAAGAACAATAAACAGAAAAATGATTGCTTACATTTGAAGGGCGAACATCACTGCAGGTTATATTTTACACACCTTTGATTTACTTGGTGCACTCTAGATGATTGTCAACTCTGTTTAGCTGTAATCCTGGAGGTCACATCACATCATCTCTCACCTCTAACCTCTCCATCAAACCAGCTCTGATATGAAATTTTACAGATCAAAAATGCATTTTTTTAGTTTCTCAGTGATATTCCTCCTGGGTCACAGACAGCTGTGTTCAAGAGATTTTCCTGAGACTCCAGAACTGTTCTGGAGTTCTGACTCGTGGCTACACTAAACATTATAGACTTTCTGCCATCTGTACTCTGAATCTTCACAGCACTTGACCAAAGCAGCAACATATAGGAACAGGAGGAGGTCATTCAACTTCACATGCCTTTTGTTTTATTCATTCACAGGATGAAGGTGTCACTGGCTAGGCTAGCATTTATTGGCCATCCCAGTGGTAGTTAAGAGTCAACCACACTTCTGTGGGTCTGGAGTCACACGTAGGCCAGACCAGGTAAGGATGGAGTGAGTTACAAAAAGTGAGTATGCAGGTACAGCACACAATCAAGAAGGATTATGGGATGCTATATTTTATTAAGAGAAAAGAATGTTATGCTTCAGTTAGACAGGGCATTGGTGAGATCACATCTCGAATACTGTGTGCAGTTTTGAGGTCATCCTTATTTGAGGAAGGATGTAAATACATTGGATCAGGTTCAGAGGAGATTAACTAGACTGATATCTGGAACGAGCTATTATGAGGATAGGTTGGACAGACTGGGCATGTTTCCTTTGAACTTCAGAAGATTGAGTGGTGACTAGACTGAAGTGTATAAGATCCTTGAATGGTCTTGACAAGGAGGACATGAAAAGGATGTTTCATTTTGTGGATCAGTCCAAAACTAGAGGGGAGCTGTTTAAAATTAGGGTTTACCCTTTTTGGACAGAGACGAGAAGAATTCTTTTCTCTCAGGGGGTTGTGTGACTTTAGAACTCTCTGCTTCAGAAAGCAGAGGAAGCAGGATTGTTGATTATTTGTAAGTGTGAAGTACAAAGACTCTGTCAGGCAGGAGAATCCAACATTATTGGGGGAATATTATTCAAACAAATCAGATCAGCCACAATAACACTGAACATTGGGACAGGCTCTAGGGGCCCAATGGCTTACACTTGCTTCTAATTTGTAAGTTTGCCAAAGTGTGTCATCGTTTCGCAAAGAAGATCACAACAGTCATTAAACATTTAATAAAGAGGTTTAGTTACCTCAATGTACTGAAGCAACATTGTGCCAAATATTTTATGCAGTAACAAAAATGAAATAATTACCACTTCTTCCCCTGGGATAAGACTCTAGAATGATCCTAATTTTTCAACTTATTTTGCCAATTAAATCTGGCTCTGTGTTGTCTCACCATGAGTTAAGGTAATAAATGTTAAGGATCCTGGACTCCTGCTCAGCTGTCACACCTTTGAGTCAGCCATGTTTTAGAAAGATAGGGCTATTGTCCCCAACATTCCACGCACTTCACCCACCCGGCTTTCTCTGCACAGCGAGTGAGAGATAGGAGCCCAGCCACAGAATACAGATTGGGAGCAGGATCCTCAGCTGATTTTACTTCCCTTGGTTCAGGGGGTCAGAGAAAGAATCATAGAATCCCTCCAGTGTGGAAACAGGCCATTCAGCCCAACAAGTCCACACTGACCCTCTGAAGACCATCCCACCCAGATTCAACACCACCTACCCTATCCCTGTATTTCCCATGGCTAATTCACCTAACCTGCATATCCCTGTACACTATGGGCAATTTAGCATGGCTAATCCACCTAACTTGCACATCTTTGGACTGTGGGAGGAAACCCAAGCAAACGCAGGGAGAATGTGCAAACTCCACACAGACAGTCACCTGAGGCTAAGATTGAACCTGGGTCCGTGGTGCTGTGAGGCAGCAGTGCTAACCACTGAGCCACCATGGTTGAGTAAAGAGGAGGCATTGAGCACAAAATGCTGCAACAGGAAAGCTAACTGCAGTTTGAGGTTTGAGATGAGCATCACAGCAACCGAGCAGTTTCAACAGAGTGCTATATTTGTATAGGACAGAAACAGACCCTTTGGTCCAACCAGTTTATGTCGACCATAATCCCAACCTAAAATAGTCCCATCTGCCTGCACTTAGCCCATATACCTCCAAACATTTCTTATTCATGTACTTATCTAAATGTCTTTTAGACATTGTAACTGTAACTGCATCCACCACTTCCTCTGGCAGTTCATTCCACATGTGAACTGTGTGAAGAAATTCCCCCTTGTGCCTTTTATTAAATCTTTCTCCTCTCACCTTAAAAATATGCTGCCCAGTCTTGAAATCCCCATCTTTAGCTATTCACCTTATTCATGCCCCTCATTATTTTATAAACTTCTATAAAGTCACCTCTCAACTTCCTACACCCCAGTGAAAAAAGTCCCAGCCCTATCCAGCCTCTCCTTATAACCCTTCCTTCCCGGCAACATCCCAGTAAGTCTCTACTGAACCCCCTTCAGTTTAAAAATGCCCTTCTTATATCAGGGAGACTAGAACTGGACAGAATACTCCAGAAGAGCCCTCACCAACGTCCTGTAAAACCTCAATAGATAGAGTGAAGCTGTCTCCTAAAACACAGAGTCAAGACAAGAAATTAACATTTACAAATGATCATAAGCATCAAATCACATTTAAACACCCTTGAACGGCCCTCAACAGAGAGAAAATGTTCTCACCTTAGACATCATTGAACAGAACGAACATTCACTGCTAGATCTCATAGAAATCTATAACGTTCGAACAGGACTAGACAAGGTAAATGCAGGAAGTATGTTTCTAATGGCTGTGGAGTCTAGAACTAGGGGTCACTGTCTAAAGGTATGGAGTAGGCCATTTAGGACTGAACTGAGGAGAAATGGTTTCACCCAGAGAATTGTGGATCTGTGGAATTCTCTGCCAGAGAAAGCCGTTAAGGCCAAAACATGGAATGTTTTTGAAGAAGGAGTTAGACATTAGAGCTAAACGGATCAAAGGGTGTGGAGACAAAGCGGGAATAGGGTACTGAGTTGGACAATCAGCTACAATCGTACTGAATGGTGGAGCAGGTTTGAGGGGCTGTGTGGCTTACTGCTGCTCCTATTTTCTATGTTTCTGTGGTTAAACAGCCCCATAGAAAGAGGAAATTATAATGGTGTCCAGCAACAATGGGTGCATTGGAAGGGACATGTATTGGGTGGGGGCAGCAAAACCGGACACAGCCCCAGTCACCTTTACTGGTCCCTGACCTGGTCCTTAATGAGCAATAGTTGCAATTGATTTAGGGGATACTGTGATTGGGGGATCGGATGATCTAGTGGTGGATGCTGCAGGCCAGGGGAGTGATCCTGTGATCCAGGACTGGACCAGGGGACTATATTCAAAGAAGAACTCATGGTGTGACTGAAGAAAGCTGGACGCAACATCTGGACCTGGGAACGAAGACAAAGGAGAAATGATGTGAGAGCCAATTGTTCAATATTTACAGGGAACTGATTGACCAGAATGGGTCATTTGCTGCACAGGGCTGTTACTGAGGGTTGGGATAATTCTGTTTCTGGTGCATCAACACCATCAGGACTGTCAAGAACAGGAATGAGGACGTTCTGTAGAAATGTGTCATTCCAGTGAGGACCATGCTACTGGCTGATTGGGAAGCTGCAGTCGAATGAGATTCAGAGTCTATATCCCTGAAGAAGCGGGAGATTGAAGGGCTTCATGGCTGAAATTGGTGGCAGTTGTGCTGAGTAATTCTGTTAGCTCAGCCAAGGGCCGTACACTGTCTCAGTGGTTAGCACTGCTACCTCACAGTGCCAGGGAACCGGGTTTGATTCCACCCTCGGGTGACTGTCTGTATGGAGTTTGCACATTCTCCCCGTGTCTGTGTGGGTTTTCTCCGGGTGCTCCGGTTTCCTCCTACAGTCCAAAAATGTGCAGGTTAGGTGGATTGGCCATTCTAAACTGTCCATAGTGTCCAGGGATGTGCAGGCTGGGTGGATTAGCCATGGGAAATGCAAGGTTACAGGGGTAGGGTAAGGGTTGTGTCTGGGTTGGATGCGCTTTGGAGGTTGTTGTGGATTCAGGGGCCGAATGACCTGCTTCCACACTTTAGGGATTCTGTGATGATCTCTGTTTTGTTTGCTGTTTAATGGACAATTTATCATTTATAATGACCACAATTTGCCCGTTAATTCATCTATGTGTGGATTTTAATTTGTCTGTTAAACTTATAAAAAGTGAAATTTTGGTCATTGGTTTTTCCCATATAAGTGAATTCAGTAAATTTGGTTTCCTGGTCTCACGGGAATCAAAACAATGTTCCCATCTCCTAGACAAGAGAATGCTTCTGTCTCTTACCAGAGAGAATGATGTACAATTCACCCTAACATGTCATTAGTTCTTCGAGAATTAATGAAAAACCTGACTTAACAAAAACTAAATTAGGCAGATGAAAGCTCAGAGAAGACCAATTTCATTATCATGCAAGTGATACATTTTCAAAATTAA